GGACCCGCGGCGGGGCAGGACTGCGCGGGGTGGACATGGAATGGGCCACGGACCCGCAAACGGCGCAGCTCTCGCTGGGACGGTGCCAGGCTGCGGGGCCGGGGGTTCCACGGGGGCTGCGCCGGGGCCTCTGCGCTCACGAACAGGGAGGGGGGTGATCCCGTCCCCCGGGGACACAAAGGGGGGACAGCGCGCTGGAGGAGAGAGCTGAAATTCTGCTGCCTGAGGGGTGCAGAGCAGGGTGCCGGCCACCACGGGGGGAGAGGAAAGGCCCGTGCGAGGGCAGGAACCCAAAGGCGCACGTAGGCTGAGCGGAGCTGGGAGCAGGGTGAGAACCGAGTTGGCCAGGCCACGGTGCCAACACAGCCACCGCCGGGGGAGGGGCACGAAGGCGGGGCTGTAGACACGAGGGGCGGCTGAGGGACCTGGCTATGGTCAGTGGGGGGGGATGGGGGCACAGGACGGGGCTGTAGACACGAGGGGCGGCTGAGGGACCTGGCTATGGTCAGTGGGGGGGGATGGGGGCACAGGACGGGGCTGTAGACACGAGGGGCGGCTGAGGGACCTGGCTATGGTCAGTGGGGGGGGATGGGGGCACAGGACGGGGCTGTAGACACGAGGGGCGGCTGAGGGACCTGGCTATGGTCAGTGGGGGGGGATGGGGGCACAGGACGGGGCTGTAGACACGAGGGGCGGCTGAGGGACCTGGCTATGGTCAGTGGGGGGGGATGGGGGCACAGGACGGGGCTGTAGACACGAGGGGCGGCTGAGGGACCTGGCTATGGTCAGTGGGGGGGGATGGGGGCACAGGACGGGGCTGTAGACACGAGGGGCGGCTGAGGGACCTGGCTATGGTCAGTGGGGGGGGATGGGGGCACAGGACGGGGCTGTAGACACGAGGGGCGGCTGAGGGACCTGGCTATGGTCAGTGGGGGGGGATGGGGGCACAGGACGGGGCTGTAGACACGAGGGGCGGCTGAGGGACCTGGCTATGGTCAGTGGGGGGGGATGGGGGCACAGGACGGGGCTGTAGACACGAGGGGCGGCTGAGGGACCTGGCTATGGTCAGTGGGGGGGGATGGGGGCACAGGACGGGGCTGTAGACACGAGGGGCGGCTGAGGGACCTGGCTATGGTCAGTGGGGGGGGATGGGGGCACAGGACGGGGCTGTAGACACGAGGGGCGGCTGAGGGACCTGGCTATGGTCAGTGGGGGGGGATGGGGGCACAGGACGGGGCTGTAGACACGAGGGGCGGCTGAGGGACCTGGCTATGGTCAGTGGGGGGGGATGGGGGCACAGGACGGGGCCGTAGACACGAGGGGCGGCTGAGGGACCTGGCTATGGTCAGTGGGGGGGATGGGCGCACAGGACGGGGCCGTAGACATGTGCAGGTCCCATCCAAAGATGGAGAATCTGTTCTCGTGGGCCACACGGTC